TTGTTTTAAATAATCTAGTAGTGGGTAAGATCTTTCTAAACTTAACAAAAAATAAAAAGGAAAAGAATGATAAATAAATGTGTTGAAACTTAGGTTTTCATGCCAAAAAAAGCAATAACAAAGAACAAAATGGGAAAATATTTGCAACACATATAACGATAACTTCCTTAACCTACAAAGGACTTAATAAATCAATAAAAGAAAGGTGAGAAAAAAAAAGAAAGGTGAGCACCACAACAGAAAACTGGACAAAGAATCTGAACAGAGTGCAATACAAGTATGAAATAAAATTTTTTAAAAGTCCCTTATTATGGAGAATTTTAAACAGGTAGAAAGTAAGATATTGCTGAAGCAGACAACTCCTCTATCCTGCACCCATTCCCAGCTATAACAGTCATCAAGGCAGTAAGTTATGGCCACTCCTGTGTGACACACACACACACACACGCACACACACTTCCAACATATTTATCCCTACACTGCATCATTATGAAGCAAGTCATTTTATCTGTAAATGTACCAGAGAGTGTAAGATTATAAAATGCTGCTTTTTCCATTACAGTGGCAAAGAGCAATTAATTGTAATTAATTGATCTAAGGGTCTGGAAAGAGGGAGAACACGGAAAAAAAAAAAAACAATATAACTCACACCTGATACTCTCTGAAGGGGAAAAGAAGAGGTTTTTGACTGTTTCCAGTCTTCAGCCGCAACTACTTGAATACTGAATCTACACGAGAGCAGAGGAGGCATTCTTGGACGAAACTGTTCAGAAGACTTGGGTTGAACAGGATTGGGGAAAGGAGCTTGAAATCAATTCTTCCTAAGCACATTTTCTGTGTTCCAAGTATTCACAGTCAGGGAGTGGTCTGATAGCCTGTACAGTTCTTGAGGACAAGCACTTCATCTTTTCTTTTGCACAAAAGCCTTATATTGTATCTGCTCATAGGTTATCAACAACCATGAATGGCTGTTTCAATGGACACACACCCTCCTTCATAAGGTTGATGGACATTGACATTATCAATCCAGAAACTCTCTGTGGCTTCATATGAATAAAATGAATAGCAGTTATTGAGGAAGGGCTGGGTCTCCAGTCCGAGCATATTCAGAAAGGTATGCTGCTTGATATGGAGAACAGGTTCCTGCCCGAGTCACTTCTTTCACGTGATCAGAACTATCTGTGCTTTGCCTTCCTTGTAGTTATGCTCCAGGTCAGGGAGGGAGCTGGTGACTCAACAGGTTGGGACCAGACTTCCGGGTGGACTTGAGTGGCTGTGTGAGGCATGGAGTGAGGGCTTCAATATTAGGCATTTCCTTTAAGATGGTTTGAATGAGATGGACTTGGTCCTGGATGGGCTGGATGAAAGACCTTGCTGAGCCTGAATCCATCCACAAGATTCACTTAATACCGAACTGAACTTAATCTCCAAAACCTGAAGTCATAGGCAAGGAGATTTCATTTTGTTCAACAAAAATCTTGGCTATATATGCACATACTCTGTATATGCAGGGAGTAAGGACATGGCGGGGGGTGGTTACAAAAGTGAGTAAGATGTCTTTGCCCTTGGTGATTTCATAGTCTAGAAAAGATGGACACTATGTGAGTGAGGCTAACAATTTTTGAGTACCTGCAGTGCTCTAGGCACTGTATTAGAGACTTAGTGTGCATTATCTAAAGACAATTTAAGGTTAAAAGTGCTGGGAAAGTTCAGGAATGTTTTGAAGGTTTCTTAAGGAACTAACATTGGAACTAGCACTTGAAGAATAGATATGATTTTAACCACGTTGTTGTGGTGAAAGCAATTGTGGGAGAGAGGATGTATTAATCAAAGTCCAGATAGGTGCTGGGCTTCTGGAATGGGACACACACCGTTTGGCTCAGTACACCAAGTTTTCTAAAACCTAACACTGTTGCAATAGCCTCCTCTCTCTCCCTGGTGCATGCTACAAACAACTTCGAGATCCATTTTCAGAAAACCAATATTGGATTAAATCAGGACTGTACTTAATCAACTTTCTTCAAAAAGGAAAAATGTTAGAGAGGAGAAAGGGTGGGGGAACCTCTCAATGAATCCTTATTCCCCACAGAACAAAGTCCAAACTCCTTATCATTCAAAGCCTTGAGTACCTGTCATTTTCAGCTTCCTCTCCTGCTACTCCTTGCCCCAGATCTCCTCCTGGTTCCTACATTCTAGCCATCCCTCAAACCTGCCTGGTATCTACTTTCTGTGCCTTTATTCATGCTTTGTCTTCTGCTGAAATGGCATAGATTCTGTTGAAATCAGTCTAAGATTTTAAGATTCAGTTTAATTGACATCTTGCTCATGAAATTCCAAATTAAGCCTTCTTTCTTCTGTGGCCTCATGGTACTGCCTTCCTCAATTCTGCCACTTGGCACTGTTTCTAATATTCAATCTGGAGTCAGGTGACCTGGGATCAAACTTCAACTTTGCCACTTAAAAGCTGTGTGGGGAAAAAAAAAAAAAAGCTGTGTGGATTGGAGAACATCTATGTCTCTGAGGCTCAGTTTTCTTCATATGGGATACTTAAGAGCTACTTCACAGAATTAGGAAATAAAATAATGTATGTGAAAGTACTTCATAAATCATGACACATGTAACATGTTTAGATTTACATGTTTTTAAACATGTAAAAGGTAATACATTTCTATCCCACTAGAATGCAAGCTTCCAAAGAGCAGGAATTTTTCTTGAACTTTTATTTTTAAATAATGGTTACAAAAGAGTTGCAAAGACATATAGAGAACTCCATATACTCTTAGCCCAACTTTCCCTGCTGTTAACCTCTTATCTTGCATATTTATCAAAACTAAGACATTTGTATCAGTATAATACCATTAGCTAAAATTCAGACTTAATTTGTATTTTTATCAGTTTTTCCACTACTGTTTCTTTTTGTTGTTGTTGTTCCAGGATCCAATCCAGGATCCCATATTGCATTTAGTTGTCATGTCTCCTTAGTTTCCTGCAATCTGTGACAGTTTCTGAGCCTTTCTTTGTCTTTCATTATTTTGACACTTTTGAAGAGCACTGCTTAGGAATTTTGTAGAAGTAGAAAAACCCTCAATTTGCGTTTTTCTGGTGTTTTCTCATAAGTAGATTTAAATTATGGATTTTTGAAAATACCACAGATGATACTCTTCTCATTGCATATTGGAGGTATATGATATTAATATGATTTATTAGTAATAAAAGAGGAATTTTTGGCTGTTTGGTTCACACCCAACATCTCAAGCAGCCTGGCACATGGTGGTACTCAATAAGCATATCAATGAATTCTCTTTCCCCTATTATGTGTCCATGTCTTCCACTAAATTGTAAACTCCTGAATGGTAAAGACCATATCATATTCATCTTTGTCATGTTTTAGTGCCTAGTAGACTTGTGTTTAGTGGGTGTTTCATAGGCACTTAGGGATTGAAATGAAAGATAAATTGGAGTGCGGTTGTATCTTCAGGGAAAATCAAGTTTATCTGATAGTCACTAAGGAACCATAAATTTATTTTAAGCAGTTCAGTTAAAAGGTTTAATATTTATTAAATGTCTATTTATGTGACACTGTAAGGGGAGCGATCCCTTCAGTATCTTACCAGTAAGTGGAAAGGGATAGAGGGGTAGAAAGATGCACTGGTGGATGCAGGCAGAGGGAAGGCTTTGAGCTTTGAGACTGGATGATGGAGCTTTAGTGACGATCTTCTGAGAAGGAGACCACAGAAGGAAATCTGGGGGTAGATCATTAACCTGGCTTCAAATGTGTTGAATTTGTCTTGTGGGAAAACTGTGGTCTTTGGAGATCTCTGGGAGGTTATGAGTGCTAGGCAGAGGACGGCATGGGCCTAGAGATCTAGACTTGAAGCCATTTCTATTCTATTGAGATCTGAAGCCCAGGAAGGGGAGAAGATGAGCAGAGACGAATTAGTTTGAGAGAAGAGGACATCAGACCCTTGAGGCAATTCTGCAGGTTGAGAGGAGTGAGAAGGGGAGACAGTGAAGGAGACAGGAAAAGAATATTAGGACTCCCTACAGGTGGGATTTCAAGAACTCAGTAGTTGACAATACCTAGTAGGAAGGGAAAAGGAAGTACTTTCATTATTTAGGAGACACCAGGTGACTGGAAAGAGAGTGAGTGGGAAATAAAATGAAGGAACGAACGATCAAGTATCTATTCCACTTCCCTCTGGGAATCTTAACTCTGAAAGGAAGAAGAAAAAGGGGATTTTTGGGCCACAAACAACAGAAAGGCCGAGAAGAGGTCTTGTTTTAGTTCTGAGACTGATCCCTGAGATGGGCTCTCCCACAAAACACTTCACCTCTCAGGCCGCTAACCTTCCTTTAAAGATGGAAAAAAGGCACCTGAGCTGCCAGCTTCACAAGATTTGTGTTCGGGAGCCTGCTTCCCCACCGAAACCGTGGGCTTCTTGAAGGCAGCGGCAATACGTATCTTTTTAACATTCTCGGGGCCTCGTAAAGCAAGACGACCCCTCGAGAAACGCTTGTTGAACGGGGTGTAAAGCGTCGAGCACTAAGCCCTGAAGCTTACCGAGGCCTCACTGCCCAACACGGTGCTATGGCGCTAGCAGCATTCTCCACAGTCCCGAGGTAGGGGCTCGAACTGCCCCCTTTGGCGCAGTAAGGGGCTCCAGGGGCCCAACCGCTCGCTGGGTCTTGGGATTTTTTTTCACTCAAAGTCGTAGACCTACAGAGCACGCTCCATGACGTGGAGTGAAAAGAGCCAGAATTTGGAAAAAGAAGAAAGGAGAACAGATCTTAACGAACTCCAGGTGGCCTCTCGGGCGCCAGGTCAGAGCCGCAGGGCGCGCGCGCCCAGCTTCTCTTCCACAAGGTCCCACCCAGAAGGATTCAGGGACGTAGCGCGCGTCCTCGCGAGACCTGGGATCTGAGGCGAGACCGGGGTGACTGGAGACTGGGTGGCGCGCGTGCTGATGACGAAAGCGGAAGTAGCTGAGACCAGAGGCGGGGCGAGAGCCCCGAGGGGCTTAGAATTGCGGAAGTTTTGTGAGAAGGGTCGGGCGGTGTCGGAGGGCCGTGTGGTGTTGGAGCGGGTCCCCGAAAGGGCTCGGGGTCCAGGAGCCACCAGCCTGCGCACGTTTGGGGCTACCCTGGGCGCGACTCGACGTTGCCGCTGTTGGCTTCCTCTGTCCTCGTTCTTCCCCCAGAGAGCCGCCTCGGATCTCCGCCATGGCATCCACCTCGGCCAACTTCCAGGTATTTATCACCGTTCTCCCGCCCCCTGGAGAGCAGGAGCCGAGGGGCGGCGCGGGGGTAGGGGTGGGGGCGGGGGAGGACGCGGCCGCGCCCGGGTGGCGGGCGGTGGCGGGCGGAGGCGGGCGGTGCCGGCGCCCCGCAGCAGGTGGGCGAGGCGGGCTCTTCGCTCCGGCTTCCGGGGTCCGCCGCGCCCACCGGCCAGGTGAGGCTTCGCTTTGCTTGAGGTGGGGTGGGGTTTTGGTTTTTTGTTTTTTGTTTTTCCCGTCTTTGGAACCAACTGGGCAGAGCTCTGAATGAGAGGCACAGACGCTCCAATCACTGAGAGAGAGGAAGGAACGTGGCGTCTGCAAAGCGCGGCTCTGAACCAGTGGAGGATGAGGTGGTCTTAGTCGTACCGTCCCTCAAGCTCGTGTATAGCAGAGCCCTTCTCTTTTAGCTGTCAGGCGAAGACTACTATGAGGACAGCCTTGGAATTGGAGGAATCCATGAATCCGTTGCGCTGTGCCTTAGTGTGCGCCTTACTGTGGCTCCCCAAAATGTCTACAAAATCAGGAGTGATCTTAAGCTCCTCTGTGGCTCCACCTCCTCACCGTACGCAGCGAGTACGGGGTTTGGTACATGATCTGGACTCCTAAGCTGTTAGACGTAGTTGTTTTACCTGTATGGAATCCATCGAGAAGAGAAATTTGAGAAATCGTGCTTCCCACCCCCAGAATGGACCTGAGGTTTCAGAGGTATTTAGAATGAGACTTAGTTTCAAGGAGCCCCGGTCCCCCGAGTCATTTTGGGGAAAAGATCAGCATAAAAGACCTGTGTTGAATCCTTGGCTTGGTCTCGGAGTAGTGGATCAGACATTAGTTGAGTGTCTGGTACAAGCTGCAAGGATAATGGAGGACTTGCTCAAGCCGGGGTAACTGATGCCCAAAAAACACCATTGAAAGTAGATCCATTGAAATAGAGCTCAACATTTCACCAAAAAAAGGGTTGGGGGAGTGAGGAGCTTTCCTGGGACTTCTATCTCGAAAATGGACCCAAAAGATAGTGAAAGTAAATGTCTTATATGTCTCATAACATTGTAATTGCAACTGTGACTTATTCCTTAGAATCAAGAATTGGTCATGTGTTGATTTTTGTATCTTTTCCAACAGGCTTGCATTTACTAAGATAGAACAGTCACCACTTAACGTTGTCATCGTTGTTGTTGTTTTGTAGCCCCATTCAGAAAGGGCCTTTTTGGTAAATGTCTTGGAAAAAGTATTATTCCTTTGATAAAAGTATTGTTCCTTTGAATATCAAAGGCGATTTTTTTTTTTAAAGCGCTGTCTTCATCCATGTTGGTTTGTCAGTTAACTCGTTTTATTCCACTGACTTTTCATCTGTCAAGACTTTGTATGTAATTTGGACATTCCGCAACATAATTTTAATTCGTTTACTGATATCTTTATTCCCTCGTAATAATTGCACTTTCATTCTATACTCAGTTTGCGTCATATTTGAATTGGGTTGTTGGATGTTCCTCAGTGAGTCAGTTGGAGATGGACACATACTAAAGGCATGTTGCTGGTGTTAAACGGGGAGGGCTGTGGAGTTACAGTTTTCTTGTGGTTGGGTCACAGGTGCCCCTTCTCATTCAGCCTTTTACCCCTCTAACCTAGGAAATTTGGATGAAGAATATTTAGATAACAAATGACTTTTGCCCCGAACAAGGCAAAACTTCCCATAACAGGATGCTTATAATCTAATAGAGAAATGCAGATCATTAAAAATTAAAATTATAAAATAACACAGTAATGCTCTAATAGAATTAGAGGCTAGTGTGGGAGGGCAGAAAGGAAGGGCGTATCTAACTCTTCGAGGATAAAAAATGTTGCACAGGGATCCCTGGGTGGCGCAGCGGTTTGGCGCCTGCCTTTGGTCCAGGGCGCGATCCGGGAGACCCTGGATCGAATCCCACGTCGGGCTCCCGGTGCATGGAGCCTGCTTCTCCCTCTGCCTGTGTCTCTGCCTCTCTCTCTCTCTCTCTGTGTGTGACTATCGTAAATAAATGTAAAAAAAAAAATGTTGCACAGAGGAGATGTGAACTTGGGTAATGTGGAAGGTACTGACGCTAATTGCTTGGTGTTTGGTGTGATCTCATTTAGTCCTCAGAACAACTCTTCGGTATTACTTCAGTTTCACAGTATAAGAAACCAAAGTCCATTGAGGTTAGGATTTAACCCAGGACATAAAATTATTTTTTTAAAGATTTTATTTATTTGGGATCCCTGAGTGGCGCAGCGGTTTGGCGCCTGCCTTTGGCCCAGGGCGCGATCCTGGAGACCCAGGATCGAATCCCATATCGGGCTCCTGGTGCATGGAGCCTGCTTCTCCCTCTGCCTGTGTCTCTGCCTCTCTCTCTCTCTCTCTCTCTCTCTCTCTCTCTCTGTGACTATCATAAATAAATAAATTGAAAAAAAATTTTTAAAAAAGATTTTATTTATTTATCCATGAGAGATACAGAGAGAGAGGCAAAGACACAGGCAGAGGGAGAAGCAAGCTCCTGTGTGGAGCCTGATGTAGGACTCGACCCCAGGACCCTGCGATCACACCCTGAGCCAAAGGCAGGTGTTCAACCACTGAGCCACTCAGTGCCCCCTGGACATGTAATTAATTAGTACTGAAGTTAGCTTTGAATCCAGGTTTGTTTGCTTGTAAGTTTCTGGGGTTTTATTTTCCACTGTGAAGTTATGCCTTTTTGGACAAAAAAAATGGGATGTGTTTCAGCTAAAGAAAAATATGTATATACCTCAGTCTAGAAGTGTAATAAATCTTGGAGAGGGTTGAGAGAAATTGCAAGTAATGCAGTATGCATAGAACTCAAGTTTACTAGGTCCTGAATGTGTCATACATTTTGCTAAGTCTTAGGGAATCATAAAAGTAGTAAATCACCCTTGATTTCCAAGGGCTTACATTCTTATGGGAGAAGACATCAACTGGGTGATGGGGATACTGTGTGATCTTTGGAAGTATGTACCAGAGGCAGTGAAAATTTAGAGGAAGCATAGGCTAGGCTGCCTGGGGGTGTTGAGGAGGGCTTTGCAGCAAGAGGACCATGACTGTGTCAATGCTTGGAGAAGAAGCTAGAGTTTTTACAGAGAGGTAGTTGGATAGGGTATTCTAGGTGGAGAGTACACCGTAAACAAAGGCCTGAAGTCTGAGTTGTCTGGATTGTCACACTAGTTTGGTATGACTGGGACTGGGTGTGTAAGGTGGGAGGACAGGCCTAGGTAAGCCATGGAGAGGTGTGTACCACACAGAGATGATTGGTCCTCATCTTACCGTAGATAGAAAATCAGCAAATATGCTTGGGTTTTTGTTTTAGAAGGAAACAACCATGTGTGCACTTGCCTGGTAGCAGGCCTAGAAGAAGGGAGACAGGTTAGGAGGCGGGGTTCTGTGTGGTGGGAGATGGTGAGGGCCAAAGTAGTGTAGTACCTATTAAAGAATTGAAAAGATTGATGAGAGACAGCTTAAAGAGGAAGAATTTGGCTCTGCATTTAGAAAGAGGGGCAGGAGGAGTCTGGGTTTTCTCTCAGATCCCTGGGTTGGATATCTGAATGGGGAGGAATTTGTTCTGGAATAATTAGAAAAGGGGCATATTTGGGGGCAGGTGGTCTTGAACTTGTTGAGTTTGAAATGCCTGTGGGGACAACCAAGTGGAAACGTTGAATGAGCAGTTGGATACATATGTGTAGAACTAGAGAGGGAGGGCCAGGCTGAAACAAGGGTTTGAGAGTTAATGGCATATGGATGGTAGCAGAGGTTGTGGGCATCTTGGAGAGTTCATAGGATGAGGAAATACAAAGACCAGATAGAAACTCTGGAATATTGACATTTAAAAAGAGAGAAAGGGCTCCTGAAAAAGAATCATTGTAAGTCCAGAGTAAAGCCAAGAGAGAATGGTGCCATGAAGGCCAAAGGAGGAGGCCACATCCAGGTTTCTGTTAGAAGGGTTCAATACTGTGGAGAGAGAGTGAGGTAAGTATGAGACCTTGGCAGTCCACGGGAAGCATTGCCGTGGAAGAATCAAGGAACCATGATGAACTTGGGGTTCTCTTTGGGAATTTGCTATGGAGGTGAAGAGATGAGTAATGTGGTAACTAGAGAGGATCCAAGGAATGAGGGAGAGCAGGTGTGTTTTAGTTTGTGTTTTGTAGATGTGAATCTGAGGTAGGGCTTCACAGACATTTTTATGCGGAGGGAGACCCCAACAGACAAAAAAAAAAGTGCGAGGAGATTAGGTTGGGGAGAGCAGTAGAGTGACATATGATTGATGGTGGGAATGGTCTCCAGAGCATAGGAAAAAGACACAGCATTGACAGGAAAATACCCAGTGGGGAAAAGTTGTTGGAGATGATAGAGGTAGAATAACCAAAAGGAAGAAGATTTTGAGAAAGCAATTGGGAATTTTTTTCGTTTTTCAGCAATTTCGTTAAGTACCCAGTGTGTGCCAGGCACTGTTCCAGGCACTAGGGATAATGCAGCATTGCAGATGAAGTTCCTTGCTCTTGGAGCTTACCTTTATATTAAAGGAGGTAGGCAAGAAGTGAATATCCACAGATAAATGTAACAATAAAGCACAGTGATGGGATAGGGTGAGGGGAGAGCTGAAAGCAGGGACTGAGGGAGTACAGCCTCTGCAGTAAGTTAGAGGGCCTTTCTGGGGATTTGGCATTGATCTGTGATGCAAAGGAGATGGTCATGCACCCGTGGGGGAAAGAGCATTTTCTAGGCAGAGGGATCAACAGTGCACAGGCTGCCTGAATGAAGGTAGACTAATGGGTTTGAAATGCAACCCAGAAGGAGCCAGGACCTGGGTCATTTAAGGCCTGGTAGACCAGGACCCAGCAGTTGGCTTTTGTTGACTGCAGTGGGAATCCATCACTGGTTGCATAAGAACTTCAGGGTGTGGAGTGTGGAAGCAGGCTGACCACTTAGGAGGCTACGTGGTATTTTGATGC